CTGACTGTCAAGTGGGGGGCCTCTATTGTTTATCCCCCTAGGCCTTTCTATGGGGAAAGCAGCTGCTTGTGTGCTGTCAAGATATGGCAGCCTTTGTTACACATTGTGATATGATATAAAACAAAGTGTGAAAATGCCCTGTGATTTTAATGAACTACTCTGGGAAATCACACACCCATTTATAAAACTTTAAGTTCATTTGAAGCCTGTTACCGAGCACAGCCCACACTGAAGGGGAAAGAAGATAAGAATAGAGGATATATATAATATATATTATATATTATATACTATAATAATTATATATAATATATAAATATATTATATATTATGTATATTATATATGATATATAGATACACTCACTAACACACTTTAAAACTGCCATATGATGCTTTTTTTAAAAAAGGAATCCACGCTTCCTTCCTAGGACATCATATCTGCTGCTGTGGTTTCACAATAATGAGTTGCAACACAGTTATAAAGAATATTCTTCTGAATATACACTTACAGAACTATATATTCAATGCCCTACCATGTTTTCTCATGGCAATGCATCAAACTCTTCCTTTGGGTAAAGTTTTCAGTCTCTCTTACATATTATTGTTTTTTTTTAACTTAATGATTAATATGTAGAAACAACCTGTGCTCCCATCCATCCCAAAATGTAATGACAAGTGGTTTGATCCATAAACTGAAATCTTCCTTGAACAAGATACATATTCCCTTTGGTCCAATAAATAAGTGGTACATTTCTCCAGTGTCCACTAAACACTTCTGTGATCATCTCTTTTCTCTTACTCTATAGTTTAGTTTACTCCCTGAACTACTTATAGGTTATGATGATTTTTAGTCTGTATATGACTCCAACATTTTAGGTTTATGAAGCCCACAAACTATTGTATATATCCAGCTATTATTCTGACACCTTCAGTTCAATGTGTGAACTGATTTTTTTGTGCAATGTCACCACCAATTAATTAACTGCTTTTTACTTAATCTATTGTTACTCTGTCCCCACATAATCTTATGCTTTATGTACAATCTCCTTCTTTGAAAAGTCTTATCTAACACCTGTGGGTTAACTGGGTAAGTTTCTGGTTTGGGATTTTATTAGAAATCCCCTGACTCTTGTTTGGCCATCAGCTTCTAGTCTTTTCAGTTCTCTTCTGCAGTTCTCAAATACATGTTTCTTACGATTTACAGTACATCAAGTTAAAAGTCTTAACGGTAAGAATGTGATTATAAGGAAAGGCAACCAGGAAAAGAAGGGTTTTCGCTGAAACAATGGCTCGAAGTCCTGAAAGAAGATACTGTGTGATTTTTATGAAAGTAAGCCACCAAGAATTGGAAGCTATTTTCTAAATTACTAGTTATTTTTACTTGATTTCCTTACTGTTAATCCCTGGTTTGAAACATTTTGGATTGGGTATATGTTTGACATAGAATTTATGTGCTTCCTTAGGTTCTAACCATCTTTAGCAGAGAAGGTAGTTTAGTTCATATTCTTCCAGTCTCATCTCATAATCAGTGAGTTGTGCTAAGCTGTATTATGTACCAGAAAGTTAGCAAATTTCACATCTAATATTCATTCGCTCTATTCTGCAAATATGTATTATATACCTATATGATGAAACCATGTGTTTCTCCTTAAAACACACTTTTTGTCATGTGATAGCAACAGTACAGAGGGTCCTGGGTTCAAATCTAGTATGGGGGCGACAGCATTGTAAAGTGGGCAGGAGAGAAGCTACAGAATGTGTGCTGTTCATTCATTGCCCCATATTTATTTGCCATAAACCACTTCACACTGCCCCATGGGACATTACCTGGCACCGATAGTGCTTAGCTCCACTATCTGACAAGCCACCTTGCATTTAAACTGTTGATATTTGCTTGTCATTTCCTTTGTAACCAAAGCCATACTGTTAGCAGTGTGATAACTGACTGGTTAAAGTATCTGATTTTAACTGAGGCCATTTTTTTTGAATTTGATTGCTGGTGAAAACATTTAGTAATCTAATTAAAAGTAATTCAAATAGCTAATTACATAATGTTGTAGTTTCCAGCAATATATTCTTTTAAACAAAGCATTCATCATTTGTGGAGTGTAATTTGTCACTGGGTTCCTGAAACAAATGCAATTATATGTTAAAATGAACAAAGTTTCTACCAAACAACTCTGGAATGACATTGTAAAATTTAGAGTATTTATACCCATTTAGAAGAGCTGTAGAAAATTTAGGGCTGGACATTGTTCTTGGCTTTGCATCTAGCTTGAATGGTTTGATTCTGAATGATACTTTTGACAGTGAAGACCCACATTAAAGCTATGTCAATGTTTTGACAAAATTGACTGATGAGTTTCATCAGCCTAATTGTCCACTCAGAAAAACAAATGCTTTGACAGTGTGATTTGCTCATGTGTTGTTTCTTTGTTAAATTAACTTGTTTTTAACTTAATTGACTGGATAAGACAACACAATATTGCTAGATGAATTCAATATTAGGAAGCTTTCTGAAGTAATTTTTCTTAAATGGCAAGTGCAAAGAGGCTAATCAACTTGTCTTCTAACAATTGTCGAAAATCTACAAATCATCTGAAATTGTGATTTTACCCCCAAGACATTGTGTGAGAAAAGAAATACCTCTGTGATTTCTGTTTAAGATGATAAAAATCTTGTGAATAGATTTCTGAATTGAAACATTCTCATTATTCACTTATTCCCTTATTTAAAGTTTAAGTATACTAATTAAATAAAAATAGGATCTTAATATTAAAATGAATTTATGTTCAAAAAACAAACTTTTTGAATGATAAATTTATTAGGAGTAGAAATTCAGTGTGTATCTTATGAGACTACTCTGCCAAAATATTGATTCAACAACACGTTTTAGAAATAGCATTGCAACAATTTTTTTTTAATTGTGAAAATACTGTACAGAGGGGCTACAATTACATGGACAAGATAATGAGTACATTTCTTATCAAGCATTGTAGCCTCCTCCTTTGTTTCCCCTTCCCATCTCATCCTCCTCCCCAATCCTCCTCCCCGCCCACCAAAGTTGTAAAGTTCCTTTTCGACATAACGACTCGACTCGTGCATGTCATTGTTGCAATGGGTCCACCTGTATCCCTAGTTAAACTATTTGTTTTTTCCCTTCCCCTCCAAAAATTATACCGACATCAAATACAGTGAAAGCAGAGGTTATACCATGGGGGAGGGACATACAAAGCAACCAAGAAATAATCTCATAAATGTGTTAAAAACAACCGCATGAAAGAAAAAAAAACATTTGAATACATATCTTAGGGCTCATTTCTCTAACATCAACCAATTTTGAATACTTATGTAAGCTATCTTTGATCAATGACGTGGATTTGCTAGATTCTTATGTGTGTGTTTGTGTGTGCTCACATGAGTGTGTAAGTTTGTTGAGTGAGGAGAGAGAAAGAAAAAAACAAATGCCAAAGCCACACAGAATCATTGCATTATGGTGCAATCAGACCTTTTCTAAATACACAAATAAGGGAAAACCCAATTTCTTTCTCAAATTTGAAATGATATGCTTCAAAAAAGAAACCACATTTTCTCAGTTTTAAAGAAATATTAATAATTATAAAGTTTTGCTTCTTTACTAATCCTTTTTCTTACCTCTCTGCTTCTCATCTCCTATTGCATCTTCTTTTATATAGCATGTTTATTTAAATAAAAGTTTTAAATAAATAATTCTCTGTGTTTAAGTTCATATTTTTATGTAAGTGTACATTTGTGAATTAATCAACTATCAACATAAATTTAATCTGTCATATGTGTTTCCCATTAGTTGAATTTGTTATGCAGACATCCACTTTGTTAACAGTTGGTAAATACTTCATTTAGGATTTCAATTAACTTGCTTCCAATGATGACTTGCTGAGTTTTGCAACAATTCGCATAACAGGCTGGTTATATTCATTCTTGGAATGAGAAACTATTAAACTTGACCTGAAAAGATAGAAAGCTTCTATATAAAAAGTAAACATATACATTAACAAACATGTAAAATGAAACAAGCTAGAAGAAACAACGGAAAGAGACCTAGTTTTCTTACTATGCAAAGAACTTTTAGAACAGCAAGCCTTGCTTAAATTTGAGCACATTATGTGTAAAAAAAATAAAAATAATTATACAAATGAAGTAGAAAATTACAATAACAATAGTATACCATTATATATTCCTTAACCATTGATTTGGGAAAATTAAGAGAACTGATATTTAATTTTGAAACAGAAAGGACTGTTATTTTTTTCTTTTTAACCAAACTCTGTTGGCCAGATTTGAAATTGTTTTCCCCCATTTCCCATCAATTTTTATTTTTAGAAATATATCATAAGTTTTATTTCTACAAATATAATTTTACTTAGGGCTATATTATACAATAAACTTGGATAATTATATAATGTCCAAAATACTATAACCAACATGTACAGATTCATTTATATACTTCATTATATGCAGTTATTTAAAATATCCATGAGCATAGGACAAATTAATTTTAATTATATATATGTTTATATGATCCCTATTTTAATGCATCTATTATAAATGGAGTATACATATCCAGAAACAAAAATATTTTACCATATATTACATTATTAAGTAAAATATACAAGTTGTCAGAGTGTATAATACTATAAAATGTACTTAAGTGAAATAAAAAGAGGGGAGGGAGGTCTCATAATGTGTGTGTGTGTGTGTGTGTGTGTGCGCGCGCGCGCGCGCGCGCGCGCCTTGGGGGAGGGGAAATTCTAGTGGGAAAGTTAACCACATTGTTATTTGGAGCTCAAAAAACAAAACCCCACAAAACAAAACAGAACCATATTTTAGTTACATTATAAACCTTGCCCTAGTTTCCATTGTGCCAGTCCACCCCCAAACACTGGAAAGCGAACTCATGCACAGAGTGCCCCTTTATGGGTAATAACCATATTGTGCTTTCTTTCTCCCTCTTCCTCCCATAGCCTTCAGCCGCGCCCCAATTCCCATGGCCGTGGTCCGCAGAGAGCTGTCCTGTGAGAGTTACCCCATAGAGCTCCGCTGTCCGGGAACAGACGTCATCATGATTGAAAGTGCCAACTACGGGAGGACCGATGACAAAATCTGTGACTCGGACCCCGCTCAGATGGAGAATATCAGATGTTACCTGCCAGATGCCTATAAGATTATGTCTCAAAGGTATGGTGCTTCCAGTATTCTTTTCTATGCTTACATATAAGCCTGCCTGCCTGCAGGTCTCTTCCTTCCTTCCTTCCTTCCTTCCTTCTTTCCTATTTCCTTCCTTCCTTCCTTCCTTCCTTCCTTCCTTCCTTCCTTCCTTCCTTCCTTCCTTCCTTCCTTCCTTCCTATTTCCTTCCTTCCTTCCTTCCTTCCTTCCTTCCTTCTCTCCCTCCTTCCTTCCCTCCTTCATTCCCTCCCACCATCCCTCCCTCTCTCCTGTCCTTCCTCCCATACTCTTTCCCTTTAAACCAAGCATCTGCGCATGCAAGGCAAGTGCTCTAGCCCTTGAGCTACTCCTGGGCAGCATTTCAATATCTGAGTCTTATACCACTAAAAGGATGCATTTGGAAATTGCACATAGCATTGGGAAAATGTTAAAATGTATTTAGATTATTTAGTAAAGCTCATGATATAATCTTCTCGCTGTTCAATAGTGTTTTCTAGAACTGAATTAATTATACAATAAAAGTTTCTAAAACAGTATTTTATATAAGATTTGTAGAAATAGGAGTGTGTGTGTGTGTGTGTGTGTGTGTGTGTGTGTGTCACTTTGGGCTCTTGAACACAGAACCTGGGCACTGTCTCTGAGGCTCTTTGTGTTCATGGCTAGTGCTCTACCACTTGAGCCACAGTGCCACTTCCTGGTTTTAAGAGATTAATTAGAGGTAAGAGTCTCAAGGATACTTTTCTGCCTGAGCTGGCTTCAAACCACAATCCTCAGATCTCAATTTCCTGAATAGCTAGAATTACAGGAGTGAGTCACTGGCTCCAGGCCAGAAATAAAGATTTTTAAAATTGATTCCTAATAGGGTGAAAGAAGTGGAAAAAAAATTAGTAATTTTGTAAGTATTAATAATTAATAAAGTTAATGATTAATAATAAACTTACTGATTATTGATAAAATATTTGGACTCAGAATTTAATAAACAAGTAGTCATTTGTGATCTAGTATATAAAATTTAACTTTATAAATTTAATAAAGTATTTCTATATTAAAATAATATGTTAAAATACCATGCAATGACACTGAATAAGAAACTATCTTTGACTTAAAGAGATTATTCAATAGGAATCCAAGCTAGAATAGATTTAAATTATCTTAACATTATGTAAGTGGTTGGTTATATTTTGTTGTTGTGTATCTTTCTGGTTATAATAAATTCGATATGCCTCAAACTGAAATACAATGTTTTGACTAATATTTTCAGTCATTTTATTTTATAGTAGTCTTGTAAGGTTCTCTGAAGAGTGGCTTTCTATTATCAGAAAAGACATCACACATGGTGATTACATTTTTTTCTTTTCTTATTTCCTTTTCTGGGGCTTGAACTCATGGCCTAAGTGCTGCCCATGAACTTTTTGCTCAAGCACTTGAGCCACAGCTCCACTTCCAGCTTTTTCATTAATGGGAAATAAGAGTCTCACTAACTTTCCTGCTTGGGCTGGCTTTGAACCTTGATCCTCAAATCTCAGTCTCCTGAATAGCTAGGATCATAGGCACCAGTCACCGGTGCTGGCCCAGGTGGTTTGTGTATTTTTTCATCTAAATCAGAGACATCCAACCCTGAAATTTCAAAGATACCAAAATGCCATTTGAGGTGTAGTTTGAGGAGGAGATTCCGCTTTTTTGTGATTAGGTTTTCATTGAAATACTGTAGAAGCATTGACTTCAATAGCTCTTTGTTCTCTGTGAGATTTTCATTGAAATTGTTTTAATCTTTTCATTGATATTATTAAGGACATTCAGAATAAGCCCTTAATCTTATAATTCATGTAGAAAATAGTTAAAAATTGGTGCTCTAGAACCATGGAATGTATAAAGTACAATGACAAATCATCACTAAAGCTACCTCTAAGTAAACCCACCTGGGGGTTTCTGAAGAGTTATCAGCTAGCTGAAACAGCGGTTAATTCTCAATGCAAGCAAGTGCTTTACTTGCATTTGAACTTTGAAGTGTGCTACATTTACACTTGTCCAAAATAAATACTTTTGGCTCTTGGAAGAAAAGAAATGACTTTCATCTTGTGTGATGGCCAAGGCCACCCATGCTGCTTTATAATGACCTTAGTTATGCTGACAGGGCAGCCACTGCATGTTAAATAATGCTCATAATTGCTAGCTGTGGCATGGATATATCTTACTGATACTACTATAAACACGTGAAGTAGATTGGTGCATGCAAACTGAAAACATAATATAGAGCAACCTTACATCAAGGTCTACAAATCTTCAAGTATATTTTGTAGAAAGATTATTACTAAAGATAAAAACATATTACTACTGAATCTTGGTTTAACCTTGTTTTATTTAAACAACAACAACAACAAAAAAAGCTTTCTAACTTCTTTCAGAAATAGCAGGCAACATGTTTTATGTCGATGTTTGAATACACATTGCATCAATTATACTGCATACTGATGTGTAAGCTAACTGTGAAACATTCCCCACTTGAATTCAAAAGGATATGATATTTGATTTCTTCGGTTTTCTACAGTAAAAATGTTCTAATCTGATATCTGCTGAGAGATGCCATTTTTTTCACAACTTTCAGTACTGCATGATCTTAGAAGAAACTCCCTACTACAGAAAATATTGATCCTCAGCACAAACAAACAAATGAAAAGATTATGCAAATTGCCAAGTTGGGGTCTCAAATCTAAGTGATCACGTGCCGTTCTGCCCACTTGCTCAATCTCTGACATTACATACTCTATCATTACCCTACTGAAGGGTTTATTCAGATGCCAGGACACATTCATTTTAGCCTTCATAGACCTTAGCATCTATCTTCTAGTGTAACATAGCATCATTTATACCTCCCCTGTTCTATCTTAATATTAACCAAACTGCATTATCACACAAACAGCTTTTTCTAAAGCAATTGCTGGCTTTCAGAAGGCAAAATTTCTTCTGATTTTACCTAAAATCAATGTTGGTGTATATGTGAGTAAATGAATATGCTCTCTAAATTTTAGAGAGCATAAAATGTTTTTAATTCTTATCTGTATGCTCTTCTGTTTTTACATTTTAGGAAGTATTAAAAGAAATATCCCACATAGCTTTGGAATCCAAATATAAAAAGTGGTTATTAAAAAATAGATAATTTCAGCAGTTTTACATTTGGAATTCATCTCAGGTTTCATGTTATCTTCTTCAGCTTTAATGGAAATAAATATGCAGCTCACTACAGCAGTTACTTGGGTTTGATGGATATGTAAGTCAGGCATGGTCCCTACCCATGAAAATATATTTTTTTACGGATAAAAGGCAGCCGGCTTTGTTGTTTGCTTCATATTCCTTTCTACTTCACTTACTTTTTTATTATTTTAAATTTATTGTTAAGGTGATGTACAGAGGGTTGTAGTTACATAAGTAAGGTAGTGAGTACATTTCTTGTCAAACTTGTTGCCCCCTACCTAATTTTTCTCCCACTTTCCCTTCTCGCCAACCCCCTACCCCCACAAATTGTACATATCATTTTCAACATATTGTCTTGTACGTTTCACTGTTGAATTGGTTTCCCTTTTGTTCTACCATTTTGTGGTTCCCCTTCCTTTCCCTAATTCAGATAAGTGTATACACAATACCCAGGATACCAAAAGGAGACCAAAAGAGAAATGTACAGACTAGTTCATTGGAGAAATATTAGATGTGTTCTTTAGGAGGAGGCTGGCATTAGTGTGTCTTAGAAACCAGACTGACACTAAGTTTGGAAGTAGAAAAGTACTGAAAAGAAACCCAAAGGAATGGCTTCCTTCTTGTAACTCCTTCAGCCATCCTTCAGCTCTTTGACTCATTTTCCAAATGTGCCAGTGTTTGGGTTCACTCTTTCCTTCAATCCCTGTTATAATTTGGTTAAACATTATCTTATGAAACATTACTATTGAAAAATGATAGAAAAATTGAGAAAGTTCCTTAAAAAATTTCCATGATCATATTTATTATGATTTGGGAAAAAATTCCAGAGGACTATCAGAACATTGAATACCATATTGCATTTTCATGCAAACTTTTTTTTTTTTGGTCGGTCTTGGGGCTTGAACTTTGAGCCTGAGTGCTTTCCCTCAGCTCTTCAACTCAAGGCTAGTGCTCTACCACTTGAACCACAGCACCACTTCTGGTTTTCTGGTGGTTTATTGGAGATAAGAGTTTCACAGCTTTTCCTGCAGGCTGGCTTTGAATCATAATCCTCAGATCTCAGCCTCCTGAGTAGCTAAGATTATAGGTGTGAGCCACTGGCTTCTTGCTGCAAACATTTTATTATTATTTAATGGCTTTGGTCCCCAGGTATTTCTATATGCATGTTCATATATGTATACAAACACACACACACACAAACATATATATATATATATATATATATACACATATATATGATCAAATGTCTTTTGTGCACAGGTATGCATATACATATATGTATATAACGTATTTGGATATAATATGCACACAGATAATTGCAGATATTAGATACACATGCTTCTTTGTATGTATTTATCTCATTCATATAGCTAAACAACCAGATGAAGAGGTAGGACATGAATGTTTCCTAAGACGTGCCCATTTGTTCTCTATCAAGCCCACCTTCTCCCCAAGGACTGCTTACTTTACACAAAATTTGTAATTTAAGTAATAGTGCATATAATATGCACTTGTTTCTTTATTGCTTCTTACAGCCAGGGCAATCATTTTTATATAATTATCCTGAAACCATTTTACATACCATTTATTCACTCACTTCAAACATACTAAAATTATTTTCTAGTAAATTTACCAAGTGATAGCTGCCAATGGCGATCATAATAAATCAGTTTAGCAAATTTCTATCAATGCAGTATAGTTCTGTAGTACAATTACTGTTAATTCTTATTTCCATCCCTCCACATTCAATGATTTAATCTGTTTTTCTGGTTATATGTTACACTCAATGAACAAAGTTAAGCTAAATAAGTGTATATTT